CGCATGGATGCAGAAGAACCGCAGACAGAGGGCCGCAGAAGCAAGATGTCCCGTTCCGCAGCCGTGGGAGAAACCTTTATCGTTTTGCCTGTGTGGTTGTATATAAACTGAACCAGAGAGGGGAGGGGGGAGCGGGGGCCCGCCGGGGCGCAACCGTATGTGTATGTATGTATGTATGTATGTATATATACATATACATACATATCTGGCTCCTTAGCTGTTTATTCGACATACAGACATACAGACATACGGACATACAGACATACATACATACATATCACACACACACACACGTGTGCAGGTGTATGTATGGCCCGGTGTCGACATACACAAAAGCACATACATACATATATGGCCATAACCCACACACACCCACTTGCTTGTGTGGAACAGGTGCGGTTCTCTTTTCGTATGTGCTGTCCTGGTAACTAAGTGCTATATGTCCTTGTCCCCGTGTGAGGGTGCTGCCTTGAGGTATGCGGTATGTGTCCTCTTCTCTACTTCGTTTCCCCCGCCCATCGCCGGGGGCGGAGAGGGGGTGGGAGCAGAACGCACAGCGCACAACCATATATATATATGTGTACGTATACATATGCGTACTGCAACAATAACAAGCAGACCAGTGCACACGTCAACACATATGTGAGTCCCCACAAGTATGTACAAGTACATATGTATATATACACACACAAACACACACACACACAAGTATTTGTATAGGGTTCACGTACATCTATACGGGCCTGTACAAAGTCGTACATATATGTACATTGTATGTGTGGATGTATGTGTATGTGTTTATGTGCTTATATGTGCCTTTGAAAATCCACTCATGGACAGGGTAACCACCTCTCATTCCTGACTTGTATATTTAGCTCAATTTGCATCGTATGATAGCCTGATGAAGTTAAGTATACTCGAACGCCATGGAAACAACTCCGAATTCCAGTGTGCATACTTTGCAATAGCAGGGAGGGAGCAGTCAACATAGCGTCTAGTCCTTGTGAATCAACGTCTTACAAACGATTACCAGATATACTCTACACATGATATGAAGTGTGGTATATACAGGGCCTTGTGCTCGTCAACACCATGTTCAGCCCGTGTCATATGCCCAACCAATGCTAGCTTCCGTCACCCCGGAGCACGCTAAACCCTAAACCCTAAACCCCTTAAGCCCTACACCCTAAACCCATAAAACACCTTAAACCCCTTAAGCCCTAAACCCTAAACCCCCTAAGCCCTAAACCCTAAACCGAGCCCAGGTTCCGTCCCCGCGGAGCGCCACGAAAGCTAGTGCATTCGCCTGGATCTGCTTGACATCGCGTAAGCGAGCCCGGACCTGGAGTATAAGGGGCTGTAACAAGTCGCTTATGGTTTTCAATGCAGTGTAGCTAGTAGAATGCGCACGCGTTTATAGTATACAGTATATAGTCGCATCATACGAAAAGTGGTTAAGGAGAGTGTTGATGTGTATTCCTACCTTTATCTTACCCTTCTTTACAAGATGCTCAGAATCCAAAAGGCGCAGCAACCAGATTTCGGACACCGCGCAGAAGCAAAACCAAACCACTTGAACCCGAATCCTTCATCCCCAAACCTGTAGATGCCATTCCAAGAGAAAGCAAGGGGACATTGTCGGGGATTGCGCCGCCAGCGTCTGGGTCGCCCCAGGCCACAACCTGGATTCTTGCTAGAAAGGAATAATGGGGGTTTAGGATGTCGGGGTTTAGGTGTAGGGCTTTAGGTTTTAGGGCTTTAGGGCTTTAGGGTTTAGGGGCTAGGGTCATAGTGAGAGTGACAACTCACACGAATACCAATACTAATATAAAATAAAACTAATACTGCTACTGATGCTAATATTAACACTAATAATATGACAATACTCACAGTAATGATAATACTAACACTGCATAGCTATATATACATATATGCATATATATATACATACATACATACATACACACAGATAGATAAATGTTTCTGGCTCTGTTGCACGCGCTCTGTAATGTAAAGACATGCCCACCCAAGACGGCCCAAGACCACGGTTTGGGGTTTCGGGCTTCGTTTTTTGCTTTTACAGGCCTCTTTTCCGCCTGCAGGTATGTTAGCTGCGAAAAGCCAGGGCTTCGGGTCTGGGGCTTCGGGTTTAGGATGCAACTGCAAACTGCCCAAACCAGCCACCCAAGCCAGAAGTCGGCACGACCAATCCATCTACTTCTGTGGCGTCGTTGATCTGTTGGCCCGGAGGGCCTTTTTACGGCCCTGTCGCTGGCATAGGCCTGCAAAAGTCCGCAGCCGGCACGCTGGAGCAGGTCTTCGCCCGAAGAGTCTCTCATTATTTTCACTCTGACCCGCGCTCTTGGGAGTGCTACCGGATGAAAGCAGGTGGATAGTGGATTGAGCAGAAATCCCATCGGCCCCATAGCAAATTGAAGCTTCGCGCTGTCTTCCCAGTGCTTTCTCTCCACTCCGAGCATTATAGCTGAAAGCAACGTCGAATTTCAAAGCTTGGCAATGGGTGTCCGTTTTTCGAAATGAGATTGAGCCATAATGTACGGGTCGAATTATAATATATGGTAGTATCCGCTTGAAGTCCTCCCATAATCATAGTAGGTAATGTAGGGGCCTTAGATAGGATTTGGGGGTTAGCATGCCAGAATTAGATTCGGAACCGTAGGGATAATGTTGGTAATTAATGTAGGGGCCTTAATGATTAGAATAGGGCCTGGGGGTATACACAAGGAACCCCCTTAAAATAGCATAGGTAATTATTAAGGCCCCTATATTATCGAGGCTTCTACATTATCGGTCAGGGATGTTTGGGGGTTGCGGAGGTCCTGCGAGGCAAAGGAGGTACCGGACTGCAGTTTGACTTGTGCTCCGTCAAAGCACAAACCGGGTTTAGGGGTCAGGGTTTGTTTGATAAAATCGAACTGAGTTTTATAAAAGGATTTCGGAGGGCAGGATCCCATAACATACAGTTTGGGCATTATTATGAGGTACAGAAATTGGCGACCAGACGGGGGTGCGGTGGCAGACTTGCGCCCACTTACCGACAGAATGAGAGGGCAAGGTCTGGGTGTGCTAGCTCAAATTTACGCTACCATAATAAAGAAAACATAAGCAACTGTTACTATTTGTACCTATCATGGCAGCTTAGATTCCCTTGCCCTTGATCCCGCAAATCCTTAAACCATGACAGCTTGTCAAAGGTAAACAAGTTCCACGACAAGGACCGAGCAACAGAGCCATCCGTGCGCAGGGCAGCGAAAGCGCCGAAGGTGGCCTCTAATTGTCTAGACTCTTGTTTAGGGCTTAGGGGTGACTGAAACACTCGGGTTGGGGATGCCCCAATATGATGCAACCCTATAAATCACCTTATCTTCTGATATTCTAAGAAGCCCCTTTCAACATCATATCAAGAACCCTTCTAAGAACAAGGACCCTCATCAACAAAACACCCTAAACCTTAAATTAAACTTAAACCCTATCAAGAACCCTTCTCACAGCAAGAGCACTTACTACTATTCAGAGAAAGCCCAGTTGTGGCTTCGTCAGTACCCCTAAAACCTAAACCCTAGACGCTAAGCCTGGATCTCTGAGACGTCGTGTAGCTGCTCTTGAACTTCGGCGCTATGGCCTCCGTGCCTGGGCTTTTGGTGCCTAGGGTTTGGGGTGCGAGGTTTAGGGTTCGGGGATAGGGTATAGGGTTGTTTTGATTTCGCATTTTATGATTACCATGGATAACTAACCCTTAACCCTAAACCCCAAGCAAAGCAGGAAGGGTCTAGGGCCTTTTGGTTCTACAGGGTTCAACACAGAAATTCGCCATCTAAACGCGCATCAATGCCTTTAGGGCTGTATATAAAAGCCAACATAGGATTTTGTAGCCCTTTATAGGGGTTTCACTCTTGAAACCCAAACTCCGTTTATTCAGGAACATGCCTGAAATTATAGAGGGTGCCCTTGCTTATTAGTACGCTCTACGGAACATTCCTGACTTCAGGGGTTTTGATGCCCTTGGGCATTGCCATGACTGAATGGCTTACGGGATGTAGCCGCGTTCCCGTTGAGGAACTTAGTTTCAAGTTGTCATAACTTAGCACTGAAGGGCTTCAACGGGCTTTCTAGGCTTCAAGGTGAAGGAATGTAAGCTTAAGTCACAGAGTTCCCCTGACAACATGTGCCCAGGTTCCCACCCCACGTGACCACTGAGCCATCTTCGCGGAGTGCGGCGAAGGCCGCAGCTGCGGCTTTGATGCACTTCACCTTCTGTAGCTGCTCCTGTACTGCGCTGCAGTCACCTCGGTACTTGGAGGTCCCTCAACGCTAAAACCATACAAAACTGTCATTTTATATCATGCTATCTTATCGTCCTCTAACTCTGTGTTCTGTGTCCATGATATCTTAAACTCAACCAGAAAGTATTTCGAAGCGTGTTCGTCACCACCTGCGCCGGGATGTCCCCATGCTACGACCGAGCCATCTCCCCTGATCAGCGCAAAGGCCCCGGTCGTCGCTGCTAGGGCAGCATCTCCTTGCTCTTGCTTCAGGAGGACTGGAGAAAGGAATAGCAGGACTACTATCGGGGAATGTGTAGGACGGACTAATGTAACTGTTGATGATATACATCCTGCATTACTTTATGGACCCTAAACTATGGGAATTATGGTATATCCCTGATTATGGGTAATGCAGGATTTAGGTCATCAGCCGAATTACTAGGAATCCAATCTCCCACTCCCCCCTTTAAGCACCAGAAAGGCTCGTAGGACGGCTGTGACGGTGTCACCATCCCGGAGGCCAGCCTGCTTCAGGGTAGCAGACCCCCGAAGCAAAGAGCCGGAAGAAGTGATCAAAGGTCCGATGCTGGCATTCAGCTTCTTCTGCGCTTTTTGCCGCAGCACATCTATCAACGCATCCTCGGCCACCGATATGTGCGTCTGGTCGCCGCTGAGTAGAGTCACCAGGACTCCCATGGACATGACCGCTGCCCGGCTGCTCTGAGAGTCTCTCCAGCATTTCTCACACCGAGAGTGCTCCTGAATCTAAGAGGGATCCCAACTAATATTTCAAGATTCTGTTCCTTGTAGAACCATGTGTTGGCTATCTTTTGATGCTGAGGTTGAAGCTGAACTCGGCGACGAGGCTTGATAGCATGGGAAGCCGAGTCTCAACGATGATCATGTTCTGGATGTTGTTACGGTTGTTGCTGTTGGCACAATGTCTTCTATGATCCTTTCCCAGAGAACCCAATATCCCTTAATTAAAGAATATGCCTTAAACCATAATATTATTAAGGCCCCTATAACTTAAGGTATATTCCTTAATAAAGGGGTATTGGGATCTCTGGGTTCAGACCGGGAACCCAGAGCAAATTGTCTGCATCGGCTACTCCGGTACCAGCTTCAGTTGCCCGCTAGGCCGGGCTCTTCTTCAATATGGTGGGCTTAGGGCTCCTCGATCAACAATATTCGCAATAGGGTAGGTGCCTTGACATTTGGGAGCGTTTGGGGTATACTATACGTTTATTCAGGAATAGGGTTAGTATTCTGACCGCTCTGATGCCGTTGATCTGACATTGGCATCTCTCGATTCTGAGTGCTTCGGGCCTATCAAGGAACCAACTCTCCAATCTTATCGCAATGGGTCTCTTGTAGGGTCCTCAATAATTAGGATAGGGGTTTCGGGTCTAATACTCTAATACAGCACAAATAGGAAACAGGAACTCTAACAAAAAGTATTCGTATGGATCAGTAACTGTTCAGCCCTGGCTATGGAAGGATGCAGGGTTTCGGGTTTAGGGCCCCTGGCTCTCTGGCCAAGCGTGACTTCACTGCCAAACAAGAACATGCAATGCTAGTCTTTTACTCCTCTTCTTCGCCTGCCCCTTTCGGTCCCACCCTCCTAAAACTTCGTCTAATCCTGACATTGTCTGTACCACACGACGATTTGTTGCACAAACTGGCGGCGACCCAACATGCCCGCTAACTGTGAGAACCACGGGCACCCTAAACCCTAAGCTTTTTAAACGAGAGGCCGCAAGGCGCTGCGTTGTCTTTGCATCTTCTTTGCGATGCTGTGCGGAATGCTAAAGCTTCAAAAGACAGAGGGTTCAGGTTGGCGGCCATGTGTGTTTTGGGGGGGTCAAGATGCAACCAAGGCTTTTGTAGTAGGGAAACCGGTGCATAGAGGGGCCAAAAACTTGTGACGAGGGGTTCGGGGTATAATTCCGTACACGAGCCAATGATTGGGACTACAATACTGATTATTGGGGCATCTGTACCGGTTTAATCATTTTTGCAGTTTGACGTCGTGGACATTGGCTTCGTGGGTGAGAAATCGCACATAAAGTCATCATACTCAAACCTGCCTAGTGAGGAGATGACTGATCGCACTGATCGTATTGGTGGCCGCAGTCCTATGACGGACAATCTTCATACCAACAAAATATCAGCAGTGGCGGTAGAAACAGCGAAAGTCACAACAAGCACGCTAAGATGAGTACAATGCCGCCCTTAATCGCGTTCATGATGGCGACCATGGCAATCGCAATACTGCTGGTGTATTGGTAAATTCTCCCTAACCCCTAAAACCCTAACCCTAAACCCCTAAACCCTAACCCACAAAACCCTCCACCCAGATCCTCAAATCCCAAGCGGAAGTCTGTTCTCCGAAGCTTTCCGGAAGCAAACATGGAACAACCGGGCTCCGCGCTTCTCCCTAGGATTTAGCATTGCGGCGTTGTTTTCAGGTTTTGAAATTTCTATGCTATCGGAAGTACGACTTTCGGGTTTTCGGTTCTCAGTATGTCCAGGTTTCCCACCTCAATCCTGAACCCTCCGACGCTAAGCTCCCCCCAAGGACAAGAAGATGTATTTTGGGTACTTCACTGGGGCGTCTCTTTGGCGAGCAGTGGCAAATGGCCCGCGGCCACCAGGGAGGCACCTGGCAATGAAACCTTAAACCCTTAAAATAACTGTAGGACTTACACGACATAGAGTCTGAATCCCAGCAATGTTTGTAACATTTTGTAAGTAATCGTTATCCATCCTCTTATCTAGACATAACGAGCTGTATAGCTGTACGAGGAATAGTTGGCAGAAAGCACATGCCAACTGCTAATTTCAAGTATTTACTGGCGTCAATCTGCACAAACGCTACAAAGCGCCCTGAACACCAAACCATAAAATCTCTCACCAAAAAATCTCAAAGCCGAAGCCCTAAACCATGAAAATTAATGCCAGAACGACCCAAACCCTTAACTCCAGGCCCGAACAAAAGCGGACGCCCTAAATTTGACGTCGACAGGCAATGCCATATCTGCAGCATGGTCTGTGGCCGAAAGAAGCCCTGGGCTTTAACCTCTAGCTGCTGTGCTCTGGCTTAGTTTTATTTATGGCTTGGAGACTCTGACTAAGGTTTCTACTTCGTTCTTGAAGATCTGGTGTTCGGTCTTGTCTTGCAGGAGCTCTGTTCTCGTCAATTCGGGGTGTAAGCCACAGTCAAAAGTGCAACCTTGAGACCCGAAGCGGATCATGTTCCGCAGTTGCAATATGAAGCACATGTTGCCAGCACCCTACCCTACGCCCTAAACCCTAAGCCTTTATCTCCAAAGCCCTCGATTCCGTGTCCGCCCGCAAAGCCAGCCTGGGCCTGTAGGTCAACGTAAACGCAAGTAGGTCCGAAACTTGTCCTCGAGTCTTTTGGGGTTTAGGGGTTCGGTTTGTTGAGCTCCGCGTTGAGGGTGCAGGAGCTGTTTCCAGTTCTGACATCTGTTGCTTTACGGACGACTTCTGCAACTCGAGAGTCTAGGCCTCGAGGCTTAGATTTTGGGCGTTTCTTGGTCAGGGATGGGTGGCCGAAACGGGTGTGGGGCACGCCAGCGTCGTGCCCGGACGAAGACATCCCTGTACCATCGGAGGTTCCCACTTCGAATCCCTGAGCCTTGAGGCCCCCAAAGCCCTCAACCCTACGCCGTGTCCTTCATACCATAGTCCAAAAGCCTCCAATCCCTGCAAACTACGACGAGATTCGGGACATAGTTTTGGCTAAGTCCGAATATTAAGCCCCCCCCTTCATTGAAGCTATCTTCCCTACTTAACGGGTGCATCGGGCTCTCTGGGCCAAGGAATTGAAGATTTGCAGCCGCAAGCTCCGACTGCGAGGCTGAGATCGTCGACTTCTTGACCGCCTGGGCCTGCTGAGGAGTCGGCGTTTAGGGTTTAGGGTTTTAGGGGTTTAGGGGTTTAGGGTTTAGGGCTAGGGAGTCTCACATGAAGTGGAGTTCTATAAGGGGCTCCTAAGAGTTTCTAGAAGGGGCTCTTCAGGGTTTCTATAAGGGGTTCGTAAGGGTTTCTAGCAGGGGATTCTTCAGGGTTTCTAGAAGGGCTTTCGGTTTAGGGATAGGGTTCAGGGTTGAGGGTACAGGGTTTAGGGATAGAGTTCTATAATCGGTCTACAAGGATTCCAGACGGGGCTCTAAACGGGCGTTCATGGGGTTAAATTCCTGTACACTCATCCTGTGCCATTCGGGGCTTAGGGGTTAGTTCTTTAGGATCCAGGGGCATTAAATCCCAAACCCTAAAAAGGGGTTTTTGCCAAGATATCTTAGCTGATTCGGTTGCAAGGACTCGGCCTCGTTTGCTTGTGGGGCGCAGAGTGCCTTGTGATGTAGTTGTAGAAACTTGAATAATTTGCCTGGGGTCTTGAGGGCCTTTAGGCTGCAACTCTACTAGCCATTCAAGAACTCTGAGGAATACTATACCCTGAACCCTGAACCCTAATTAAGTCTTATGATTTCCTTTCTACAGGTTTTCGGCTCTGGTGTTCCGCGGTTTAAGGTTCCAGGGTTGAAACGGGTTGAATGTTTGTCAGCAATTAAACGTCTTGGGGTACCTCACGCAACATTTCATCAGCGCTCTGCGTAACATGACGCTACTGTACTGTAAGGGAGCACCACCCTGATTGATAGTTGATCCCTGCTGCGACTTACGAGAGCGCCTCTTTGTGGAAGCCTTGCTTCAGGAAGTCCATATACTAAACCGGTTCTCAGGCCCAGATCCAGCAAGAATGCTGCCCCTAGCCCTAAACCCCAAACCCTGCAACTTTGCGTGCCTTAATGGCCTGTGTCTCCTCCTGATGTCATCGTCGACATGTCATGGAGTTCAAGAGGCTTAGGGTTTAGGGAAAGGGATTCCTCATGTGTCAGGGTCCTCATCACAAGAAACTTACGATCCAGGGTCTGTTTTTGGGTCCGAATTTCCAAAAATGGCTCAACCGTCCTGGCACAGAGCGGAAGAATATGGGCAAGCAGAAATGCCATTATTAGACCTTTACAAACTGTGCAGCGTCGCATCGGCAGTTAATGCATACTCAGAACAGTCTTGTGCCCATGTCAGTGGAGCCACAAAACCCCAAACCCTAAACCCTGAGGTTGTATCAACAAAGAAACTCACTTCTTAGCTCAGCAGGGGTTGAACAGTTCAACTCTTAGTTTCTTCGGCCCTAGAAGGGACCCTAATTTAGAGAACTACCCAAGAGCAAACTCTCCATCCTAAACCTTACGTCTGAAAGGCTGTGTGGCTCTGGCGAAGTTTCGTGGAACACGTGTGTAGAATTCGACCCGTATCCTAAAACCCAGACCTCTAAGCCATACAGGCACTAAACCCCAATACCTAGACCTCTAAGCCGAAACCCAACAAGTCAAGCCTCAAAATCCGCAAAATGTCCCATTACCCCGTCCTGCTCAGAGAAGGTCACCGTCAGAGCGAGCCGCACCTCCTGCTCACTCGGGGAAGAAGGGTCTAGTGTCTACGGTTTGAGGTTAAGGGTTAGAGACAGACAAAGCATGGCGTACATCTGGGGACATGTAGTGTTTAGGGAGCATCCTTTGAAGCACGTATATCATAGCTATAAAGCTTGTAAGTATCATATCAGTTCTACCGGCGCTTACAACAAATGGAAGCTCCCATGTGAAGTCAAA